CTGGAGATATAAAAGTCCCTGATAAGCCCAGGCCCTCAAGGCACTTACACAACCCACAGGGAGAACGACAAGACTGGGTCCTCTGTACACCTCTGAGCCACATGACCATGCTAAATAGTGAGTGCAGATTTGATCAACCTGTATATAACTCTTTTAAGCTGCAAGAAACCCAGGGCCTCTGCCCTTGTTACCCTCAGCATCCATGCAATGCATGCATACCACATATCTCAGGCCTCTCCTCCTCCCTGGGAGGGCAAACGGCAGCCTCAACATTGAGACTTCCCCCCAAAAATCTGGGTAATCAATCAGGTCTTGGTTGGCTGCTTCCAGAGAAGCCAAAGATTCCCCCATTCAGAGACTGGAACTCCCTTGGAAGTGTAACAACCCTTGGCTACAGTTAAATCCATCTAGAGAGGCTATAGATCCCTTCAAAGTTAAGAGGCTGCTGCTGCTTCCAACTGTCAGTCAAGTCCTGAAAACAAAACAATCCCTTTGCTGGCCTGCTCACAGGGTCTTGGCTTTCCTCAAAAGCAGAACCAAAGCCGACTTCTGAAAAGTCTGGTGTATGATGCTTCTTTTGAGAAGTATCTGTTCATGTCCTTTGCCCACTTTTTAATGGAGGGTTTTTTTTTTTAAATTTTTTTTTTTTTTTTTGGTAAATTTAAGTTTCTTATAAATGCTGGGTATTAGACCTTTGCCAGATGCACAGTTTGCCCAAATTTTCTCCCATTCTGTAGGTTGTCTGTTTACTATGTTGATAGGTTCTTTCATGAGTTTAAAAAATGTCTGGTGTGCCCCTACTCACTGGGACACTGGTTTCTTAATGCTAGTTTAACCATCAGCCATATCAGAATATCATAATCACCTGCAACATAAAATACAGTAGTGTCCCCTTATAAGTGAGGAATATGTTCCAGTTCCCCCAGTGGATGCCTGAAACTGTGGATAGTACCAAACTCTATCTATACTATGTTTTTCCATATATATGAGATAAAGTTTAATTTATAAATTAGGCACTGTAAGAGATTAACAATAAAATAGCATAAGTATAACAATATACTATAATATTTCATCATACTACTCAGAACAGCATACAATTTAAAACTTTTTAGTTTTAAATTTTTCCAACCTGCTCTTTAAGGTACCATACAATTTAAAATTTATAAACTGTTTATTTATGGAATTTTCCATTTTATATTTTTAGACCATGGTTTACCACGGGTAACCGAAACTGGGGAAAGTGAAACCATGAATAAGGGGGCTCTACTCTACAGATACAAGAAGCTCATACCAGACCTCCTTAACCAGAATCTTCTATAATAGGGCTCTAGGCTTACATAGTTTTAAAAAAACTCCATAGGTGATTTTAATGCAAGCCATTGATTGGGAACCGCTGCGCTAGGATGGTAGTTCTCAAATTTCATGGGCATCAGAAGCACCTGGAGGGCTTGTTAAAGCACAGACTCCTGGGTTGAATCCCCAGAGTTTCTAAGTCAGCTGGCCTACAGTGGACCCCGAGAATTTCATTTCCCCTAAGTTCTCAGGTGATGTAGCTGTTCTGGAGCAGGGAGGACATGTAAGAACCACCGCACTAGGGATCAGCGGGGGCCAGTTCTATTGGAAGCCTGTTTACTAGCTAAATACCTCTTGTTGACCACCTGGAGAAGATACTGCTTTTTACCTAACCAGCATTCATTCTCCCTTTCTTCCTTCTAACAGTATCTTGATTTTTGCTAGCGGGAGCAATGTTCCCAACTCACAGAACTACATTTACTCACTTCCTTTCTAAAAAGGGGTGGCCACAGTACTAAATACCAACAACAACAAAAAATCATAACCAGAAGCTGTTGGGTGAGGGCTCTGGTTTTTGGAAAAGCTTAAAAGTGGGCAAGGGAGGGAGTATTAGCTCAGCTGGCATTCTTCCCCTTTTGCCCTCACTCTTCTTTCTTTATGCCTGGAAAAAAGAAGTGGTAACTCAAGTTCTGACAATCATTCTGTGGCAACAAGGCAAAAAGCACATACTGAAGATGATGACAGTACCAAGGAGAAGGAGACTGGGTGACTGATGGTATTATGGAGCTGCCATACCAGTCCCACATGCCTACCTTCAGATCTCAAATTATGGGGCAGAAAAATAAAAGTTCTCATTTTTAAAGATTATTTTAGGGTCTCTATTTACTAGTGACCAGAAAATTAATTATTAATTTGTCACACTCCAACCCACCAAAATGGAGGCCATTATATTCACCTCTTTTCTCCCATCCTGCTGTTCTCACATGGCTCTGAGATTCTTCTTCCCTTCCCCAGTCTCTAACTATTCCTATTGCTTTCTGCAGAACTTCAGTGCCATTGTAAACTCTCTTGAAACTTGAATCTCTTCATAGGCTTCTTAGCCTTAAGTGAAACTTGGATATCCCCTAAGGGCATCAATTTCTTGGAGTCCTCAGGAGAAGCATCTCTGGCCAGAAGGGTAGGAACAGTTCTATCCTTTGTCCCAGTGCTACTTTAAGACCTCTTCCCCTTATATATGAACTCCTGACTTTTTGAGAGTTATGCCATCTGGCTAGACTTTTTCTCCTTGTTGCTGTCACACCTTTGGTTCACAAACTTCCCTCGTTTGTGAAAGACTTCAGACTTTGAGTCACCATTTTCCTCTCCACCCTGCCTCCTAACCATGATCTGAGGCGATTTCAATGCCAATCAACATGAAAGCTTCTCTCAGTTCCTAGACTTACATATCTCTAGTAACTGATACTGATCTCCACTCCACACTGGCTACCTCCTTCCACACCCTGAACCATATCATCCATTACCACGGAAAGCTCCACTTCTGAAGTGTACCATGACACAGCTCTTTCCCTGTTATTCCTGGGGTCTCTGTAGCTACCTCAGAAAAGCATTCGGTCCCTTGGCCCATCTACTTTCTCCCTTTCTTCAAGCACCTCCTGCCATCACATCTTTCCTTGTTTATAACTTTAACTACAGTTGCTAACATCCTCAATTATCTTTCCTCATGGTACCCTCCTGTAAAAACCTCACCCCGGGCCAAACTGTTCACCAGAAAATAATAACACCATAATACATGTGATCTCCTAAGTCAACTGAATTGTAAATGCAACCCATAAATGTATATTCTGTCATCAGCACTTTCTCCATGACCACTTCAAACTTTGTCTACTATCTCTTATTCAAGACTCCTGGTGACAGATGTTTTGGAATTTACAATAATAATCTGGAATACATAGTATATATTATATAATACTCCACAGGGTCTGGGAAGTCACTCATCATCAAATACATTAGCATTTTTACAGCAGTGTGAAAACTCACACTAAATAGGTTAAATAAAAATGATATACATTATCAAGCCTGTAATCCCAGCACTTTGGGAGGCCGAGATGGGCGGATCACGAGGTCAGGAGTTCGAGACCATCCTGGCTAACACGGTGAAACCCCGTCTCTACTAAGAAATACAAAAAATAGCCGGGCGAGGTGGCAGCGCCTGTAGTCCCAGCTACTCGGGAGGCTGAGGCCGGAGAATGGCGTGAACCCGGGAGGCGGAGCTTGCAGTGAGCTGAGATCTGGCCACTGCACTCCAGCCTGGGTGACAGCGCGAGACTCTGTCTCAAAAAAAAAAAAAAAAAAAAAAAATGATATACATTAAATGTTTTGTCAAGCTACTGAAACAAAACTGTTTAATACACAACTTGATATAAGATCAGGTTAGGCTTTACCATTAAACTTATGAAAAAACTTTGGTTTTCAGACATTTTTAGATTTTTAGATCACAGATAAAGATGGTACTATCATGTTTGCTTGCGGATAGGCATTAATCTGGATTCATTCCCACAGGCTACCCTTCACATCCAGTTAGTCTCTGAGGCTGGCTGTTCTACCTCACTAAATGTCTTTTGAAGTTCACTGCTTCTGGCTATCCCTTCTGCCATAGTAATTCAGGAAACCACAATTTTCTCCTGAATTACCTTAATAGACTTCTACCTAGTCTCTGTCCCTCTAGACTCCACCCACTTGTTTCCCCTGCCCGACCCCAGGGCCCTTTGATCTGTTCTCTACACTGCAGCCAGAGTGACCTCTATAACACAGATATGACTGTGCTATTCCCCTGAGTAAAGCATTTATTTGGATCCCTAATGGCCTCAAGATGAAGTTCAGTTGTCTTAATATGACTTTACAAGGCCCCTGCTGACTTTTCCAGGTTTATCTCTTGCCATTTTCTACCTCCTGGGCAAAGCCCCAGTCTTACTGCACTATTTTTAGATCTCTAAGAGAAAGTTGTTTGCTTTTGTATTTGGACAAGTTGTTCCCTCTTTGACAATGTACTAGTAAAAATCACAACTCTTCTTCTTTCAAGATAGAAACTAAAACTAAAGATAAATTATGAGTGTCAGTATGTGCAGAGGCCTGTGTTAATCATGGCTAAGAAACTGGGGCCTGTCCAATCATCTTAGTCACCCTGCACCTATGTTTATTTCTGATTAATCCTGGATTCACTATTGTTTCCCCCAGAGTATACCAGAATAAGAATGCATGCAGAAATAATTATGTATCCAAATTCAGATTTGTTTAGATCAACCACTTATGAAACTGACTTTGCAAAGATTATGACAGTGAGAGGAGTCTAGCACAGCTGACTCCGCCTTGCTTCTGGCCTCACAGGCTGGCTGTCTTCACTCTTCCCTGGGTGTCAGCCAAGCTCACCATGAGAGGAACTTAGTCTATAGTTTAACCTGAAAGCAAGAACTAACCCCTTCCTGGCTCAGGAACTGAAAACTGCCTTTGTAAAACTAATGAAAAGCCGCAAGATTAAGATTATGGGAGCGGCCTGAACGCTGCTAAAATGTAGACGTAGGTTCTATAGTGCTTTACTGCTCAGGGGTCATGTGGTCCAGAGGTCACAAGATTTGTGATTTCCCCAACTGATCCCGTAGGTAACATCACTATCATAAAACCTAAGACTGGTCTTTTGAGATGTTTTTTAGATGTGCATTCCGGCAGCCGATGGACCTCACGTGGACCCTGACTTATGACTCACCTGATCCTGTGGCCCCACCCAGAGGTAGACTCAGCACAAGAGGACCGTTTTCTACATCTCTATGGTTTCATCCCCAGTCAGTCAGCAGTACCCACTTCCTAGCCCTTGCCCACCAAACTGTCCATAAAAACCTTAACCTTTGATCCTTTGGGGAGTAATGATTTGAGTAATAATTCCATCTCTTATGTGGGTGGCCTCTTGTCAATTAAAATGGTAACTTCAATAACACAGTCTTGGTGAATTGATTTTCTCTGTGCAGGGGACAGGAACAACCTGTTGGGCAATTACACTTATACATACAATTAAATATTTTATATGCTTCTTAAAATTTTATAATCACAAACATGATATCACCAAGTTATAGAACATTTAGACAAAAAAAAACAGGAAAGACCTATGTTTTCATCATCCTATAAAATATTTGCTATACATAACTGTCTCCCGAAAGGTAAGCTCTGTGAGGATAACAGCCTCATGTATTCTATTTACGGCTGTGTCCTCAGTGAAGTGCTTTAATGTTTAAAAAATATAAATACAGGCCAGGCATGGTGACTCTCATCTGCAATCCCAGAAAGTTGGGAGGCTGAGGCTGGAGGATTGCTCAAGCCCAGGAGTTCAAGACCAGCCTGGGCAACATGATGAGACACCATCTTTACTAAAAAAAAAAAAAAAAAAAAATTATTTGGGCATGGTCACACAGCCTATAGTCCCAACCTCTCGGGAAGCTGAGGCAGGAAGATTGCTTGAGCCCAGGAGGTGAAAGCTGCAGTAAGCCATGATCACGACATTGCAATCCAGCCCAGGAGACAGGGTGAGACCTTGTCTCAAAATAATAATAATAATAAAAGTACCTAAATGAATGATTGACATATCATTTTGGTATGCTGAATTAAAATGTGAACATACTTGAATTTTCTACCATATACCCATTTAGCAACATTGAGGTTCTCAATTTTAGTACACGCAAAGTTTTGGTTGTTCCCGTAAGAGAAAATCAGAAAAAGAAGGTCCTTGGAAAAGACCACAGGTTTGGAGGTAAAGCGAAAGGCAAAGAAGTAGATATTTTTTCCCCACATACAATGATTCCCAAAGATATGTTTTTCAATGAATCCTGGGGAAAGATGAAGGAAGCAAGGAGAAAGTAAAACTGACTCTCAGAAGTATCACTGGTGACATGAGTGAGATGACAACTGACACTGAAGTGGAGAAGAGGGGAGGCGTACACGAGGTTGAGTCATAACATCACAAAGGCATCATTCATTTTCATAGACAAGAGCCAACAAATGACTTCTTGTATGAGTAATGTATGCCATACAGCAAAATAAATTTGCCAGTATCTTGTTAGAACTGTAGGTGGAAGCCATCTAGAAAAATTTCTGATGAGCCAAGGGATAAATGGATCAATTAAATTAGAATCTCTACTTGTTATCTTTAAAGGTGTTAAGGTCATGAAAGTCAAGGAAAATTTCAGAAACTGACCTAGATTGAAAGAGACTAAGGAGAAAACTAAATGCAATGCATGGTCCTGACCTGGATCCTTCTGCTAACAAAGAACCTTATTGAGACAACTGGTGAAATCTGAATGGAGTCTAAGGATTAGATGGTAGTAATGAATGAATGTTGATTTCCTTATTTGGATGCTTGTAATGTGATTATGTAAAAAAAAAAAAAAATGCCCTTTTAGGTTAAAAATACACACTGAAGGATTCAGAAGTATGCACATTATGTTGATGACGTACTCTCAAATATTCATAAAAAAGTTTATTGTATTGTACCCACAACATTTCTAAAAGTTTAAAATTGTTTTAAAAAATTAGAATCTTGGCCAGGCACAGTAGCTCATGCCTGTAATCCCAGCACTTTGGGAAGCCAAGGCGGGTGGATCACAAGGTCAGGAGATCAAGACCATCCTGGCTAACATGTCAAAACGCTGCCTCTACTAAAAATACAAAAAATTAGCCAGGCATGGTGGTTTGCACCTGTAGTCTCAGCTACTTGGGAGGCTGAGGCAGGAGAATAGCTTGAACCTGGGAAGCAGAGGGTGCAGTGAGTCGAGATTGCACCACTATACATCAGCCTGTGCAACAGAGCGAGACTCTGTTTCAAATAAAATAAATAAATAAATAAATTAGTATCTCTGGGGGTGAGTCTGGACATCAGTATTTAAAAAACTGGCTAGGTGATTCTGACATGCAACCAAGGCTAGGAAACACTGTTACAGAGTCTTCATCATCACCAGAGAAAAAAGGTGACGTACTTTTTCAATGAGTGCAAAAAATATAATTTATTTAACTAAACTCTTCCTTCCTTTCTTTCAAAAACCACTTATTGAAGAGCTTTTATATGCCAGGCAAGAGAAAATCTCTTCCCTATGTGTATTCACAGTCTCACACGAGCAAACAGACACTGTGCTTTAATAGTATAACAATAATAACTACTATCATTTGTTCAGCAATCACTATTTGCTAGGCACAATGCTATTTGATAGGGCAGGTACTGTTATCTTCGTTTTACAGAGTGAGGAAACCTATGCACAGTGACATGAGTAACTTGCCCAGGTGTACAGAGCTATTTTGAGTCTTGTCTACACCACTATAGTATAGGAAGGCAATGTGCTGTGAAAACACACGTACGGACTGATGCAGACTATGGGTGCCATAGAAGGTTTCTTAGAGGAGGGAAGGTGGGATGTATCTGTAAATATGCATATGATTTCCATTGTTAATGATCACAAATACTCCTTCCATGAACATCTGTGCAGGTAACTTTCCATTTTGTAGTCCTGCTGCCACTCTCTTCCTTTGCTTAGATTCTAAGAAGTAGGATTCTGGGACAAAAGTTATAGAAATACTCCAAGGCTTTCAATATGTTATGCCCATAGTTGTCACCAGCTTTATGAGGGTATCTACTTTACTATAGCATTGCCAGCAGTGGGCATTATTACTTCAAAAATTCTTTGCCATTAATAGAAAACTAGTATTTGGTTACTCAGCTGAACATTTTTCCATCAATGCTGTCTTTAACACAGAAATTTAAGATCTTTATAGTTACAACCAGCAGAGTATAAGAGAACATTAACAGTGAAAGAACATTCTAGAATGTCTTATATTATAAATACCATAATTTATTCCTATAATCACAAAATTGGGTCACAATTAGCAATATTCAAAGAAAACAAATTTCGGTATTCATGCTAAGATCTTTGACCTCTCAAACTTACTATGAATTCTAGGAGTACAGCAGAAATGAGTTGTTTGATCCTATCACAATCCAGCAAGTAAAACATGTTCTATAACTGTTTGCTATAAAAATAAATAAATAAGTAAATAAATAAAATAATGGATAATGACAAAATATAAACTGAAGCCATACTTTCTGAGAGAAGTAGCATGTTCCCCTCTTTCTCTTCTGGCCATATGAATAGGATAACAATATATTCCAGTTTGCATGTGACAGTTCCAGTTTATGCCTCTTGTCCTAACATCTTTTCTGATTAGAGCTGCCTTTCGAAGTGTGCTTAATTGGGCAATAAATTTTATGGTCACTCTGCATCTACAGGATGTCCCCCAATGAAGAGCTGATCTTAGGAACAAAGTGCTCACTGATCAGACATCTTGTCTTTGTGTCACTCGGATTTTCACTTTGAAGACCTATAGCCAGACACCTCATTTGGCTTTTACGTATTTTCTATTTTTTTTTTTTTTTTTTTTTGAGACGGAGTCTCGCTCTGTCGCCCAGGCTGGAGTGCAGTGGCCGGATCTCAGCTCACTGCAAGCTCCACCTCCTGGGTTTACGCCATTCTCCTGCCTCAGCCTCCCGAGTAGCTGGGACTACAGGCGCCCGCCACCTCGCCCGGCTAAGTTTTTTTTTGTATTTTTTAGTAGAGACGGGGTTTCACCGTGTCAGCCAGGATGGTCTCGATCTCCTGACCTCGTGATCCGCCCGTCTCAGCCTCCCAAAGTGCTGGGATTACAGGCTTGAGCCACCGCGCCCGGCTGGCTTTTACGTATTTTCATAGTATTTTATCATCTGAAGCCAAATAATCTGAAAGTAGTTAATTGATAAGGGCATCCTTGACTATATCAGCACTCTTTATTTCATTTTATTGATAAAAGAAGTGAGGCATGGAAAGAAAATGTGGCTTATTCAAGCTCACATCAAGTAAAATAATCAGCCATATGAGAGGAAGCTACTGAAGTTCTAACTTCTGATTTTTGATTAATAATCTAAACCACATAGTCATTAGTATGCAATGAATTCTCCAGTGTAGTTAGATCAGAAAAAATTCAATCATTTAGTAAATGGCTTTACAAACTACAGGCAGTAATAATCTATTTCAAACGATATGAGCAAAATCATAGGCATACCTTAGATAATACTTTTTCCTTTTTCTTTTTTTTCCCTCAGTCCCCCTTGGATAATATTTTTAATGGGTATAAATTTCATAGTTAATAATATTTCAGTCTTATTGAGTAAAAGTCTCTGTTCAAACCTAGTTGACAGGTCCAAGCTATCAGAAGGTGAGGAAATATTTATAAAATAAGTGAAAATTTTAAATAAACATTAATCTTTTTGGTTATTAAAAAATAAAGCTTGTTACATTTTTACATTTCACAAGTATGTCTAAATTTCATACAAAGATGCACAATAGATAAGATTTTACAAATATCTTGGACTATATCAGAAAATGTTAATGGAGCTAATGAAGTCACTTCCTATAACAACAACAAAGAAACATGGGGATAAATTTAATAGACTATGACTAAGAACCATATGAAAAAAAGTGACTCTACTGCTTGCATAAAAGGAGAGGCATACCATATATGAAGTTGGAGAACCTCACTATTACAGATATGACATTTCCATATAATTTATAAACATATTGTAACATCAGTCAAGATCCCATGTGCATTTTGTAGGGGTGGAGTAAAGACCTCGGTAAAAAATCATTTAAAGTTCATTCAGAGGTTGGCTGGGCGTGGTGGCTCATGCCTGTAATCCCAGCACTTTGGGAGGTGGGTGGATTGCCTGAGGTCAGGAGACCTCAGGTGAAACCTCATCTCTACTAGAAGTACAAAAAAAACCTCATCTCTACTAGAAGTACAAAAAAAACCTCATCTCTTCTAGAAGTACAAAAAATTAGCTGGGCGTGGTGCACGCACCTGTCACCCCAGCTATGCAGGAGGCTGAGGCTGGAGAAATGCTTGAACTCAGGAGGCGGAGGTTGC